GTGTTCTTGATCTGGCCAACTGTTGTGAAGGGTGTTTTCTTCACCCGGGAAATAATTCTTCGGTCATCCACCACTGGTGTTTTCCATGGTCTTCCGGGTCTTTTGGTGTTGCTGAGCTCACCGTTGCGTTCCTTCTTTCTAAGAATGTTCCAAACAGTTGTTTTCGCTAGTCCTAATGTTTTTGCTATCTCTCTGATGGGTTTGTTTTGTTTTTTCAGCCTAATGATGGCTTGCTTCACTGATAGTGACAGCTCTTTGGATCTCATCTTGAGAGTTGACAGCAACAGATTCCAAATGCAAATAGCACACTTGAAATGAACTCTGGACCTTTTATCTGCTCATTGTAATTGGGATAATAAGGAATAACACACACCTGGCCATGGAACAGCTGAGAAGCCAATTGTCCCATTACTTTTGGTCCCCTAACAAGTGGCACATATGCAAACTGTTGTAATTCCTACACCGTTCACCTGATTTGGATGTAAATACCTCAAATTAAAGCTGACAGTCTGCAGTTAAAGCACATCTTGTTCGTTTTATTTCAAATCCATTGTGGTGGTGTATAGAGCCAAAATGTTAGAATTGTGTCTATGTCCCAATATTTATGGACCTGACTGTATATATATATATATATATATATATATATATTTTTTTTTTTTTTTTTCTCCACAAACATTAACACTTTATTGTATATGACGGTACCACTTATTGATATAATTGTGGAAGCGCACCTACCTAATAGTTATTTACAAAGCATAGTGTTTTAGCACACATCGCCACAATGCATACATGTAAATGGGTCCTAAGGAAACTTCTCCTAACCATGAATGACACCATAAGTGTAGCACATCCTTTTCTCATGGTCTGTAAATGCTTGCACAGCTGTGCAATTTTGCATATATTCACACACTACACTAATGTGAATGTTGGCCGAACTGTATGTCCAGCCAAAATCGTTGTTACTTTTGGATTGGGATGCAGTAGAACCCCTGTAGGGATTTTACTGCTATCTGGCATTAGAGAGATTTATTCCTACATCCTGTTCTACTGGCAACGTTTTACCAGACATGAAGTGAGGTGAGCTTTCCAACAAAACACAGGAAGACATAGAAATGATTTTATTTATTAGAGTAGGGGAGGCTAAAAACAGTATCAGCTTTTATTTCTGTATGTGCTCTTCTTTCAATTTTTCCTTCACTTGTCCAGTGAAATCTCTAACAGCAAGACAGTAAGTGAGGGAAAATCACTAATTGAGATGAGCATAGCAGTAAAAACATGACAGACATTCTAATGCCTATTTCACATGGGTATTCTACATCATACACATGGGTGAGGGCCATGTTTGCCAACACGGGGAAGCACAGTTGCACCATCACAATTTGACAGACACACAGGCAATGGGGCAATGGCCCCGAAAGCACAATGCCTGCATTCAGGACTGTTCACAGGCACCCACACCCAAACCTGCATGCCTGTTAGATAGGGAGCAGTAGCTGCACTTGGGCAGCCATTGCATCCCAACTGACATAAATGGGACTGTCATGGATGAAAGAAACACCTGTGCTTCTCTCTGCATGGCAAACTCAGCCCTTGCATGGGTAGTACATCTGTGTGAATAAGGCCTAATCCTTCCTATTGTATCCAAAACTAGGATAAAAGTTTATGACTTGACACATAGCTTTCATAAATAATAGCTGCATTTTTTATAATTATACAGTTAAATTGTTTTAGGAATTTATTCATGCAGATTTGAAAAAAATATTGTAAGGGCCACTTTAAGATAATGATACAATGCAATCACAATGTTGCCTTTGCATGAATGAAATAATTAACAAATGAGAGCACGAGAAAAGGTCTCTGAGAATCTCCCATGATCTCATGGTCTAGTAACCGGTTTGGAACAATGATTCAGTTGAGGCTTAGCAGTTCTTTGCAGACTAAGGAACATTGTTCACAAAAAAGCAAACCATTGAAATGGTATTTTAACAGGAAACCTTTCCAGAGTGAAGCATAGAGGCTGCTATTACTACTTCACATTCTAGCTTGGCTGCCATGCTTTAATACTATGGGATTAATTTATTAATTGAGTAGGGACTGTTCATTTAGCAAAGTGAATGTTCACTGATCATAGAGAAATTGGGACCAAAGAATCTGAAAAAAGGATGTATGAAGTTTTTTTTTTTTTTTTTTAGTAAACGGGTCAGGGGGTAAACCTATGAGGTATGGAGGGCAAATTAGGGGCTCAAAACTGAAGTTGGGCTTTAGGAAGAAAAAAGTAATCAAATAGAACCTCTTAAGCTGGCAGTCTTTGTTACAATCTGATTGTTCAATATCCTTTAGATCGCCAATAAATATGTACATCAAGTGCTTGTCAGATTTAATATAAATGGACAATTTAGGAAGACCCTCACAATATCTGATTGTAATGGTAATTGCTAATAGTAACAAGTCATTGTGTTTTTAATACAGTTTTTTTTCAGAAAGTAGTGCTTTGTAGGAATGTTATACTAAAAACACTACCAGCTACTAACGTGGGCACCACCTTATGGGGTACCAGAGGTTTAAAAGATCTGTTTATATGTTAGTTATGGCCTGTTTTAGGAGGTAGGTCCATCTTTTATGCATCTGACTGGCCCAGAAAGTGATATGAGTTTTGCGTCAGTAAGTTAAACATCTCTCACACTTGTAGTCCTTAACTCATGGGAATAACAATCCATATAATTGGGGTTCCAAGCTCAAATTTTGAAGGGAGGGGGCCACTTGTCTTTTTTCTTTTTAAACTACGTTATAGACAAATACTGCACTATTTATTACAAATCTGTCAGATCAGGATGCATTAACTGATTAGGAAGACCACCAGTGTGGTAGATTTTAGTTGACTCAATAATCTCTCTTTGCAGGAACTTTCAGGGAAGTAATAATTTAGGTAGTGGGAAAATCAGCTTGTATTATATTAAACAGAACTAGAGCTAAGTTTCTTAGAGTTAAGTATCAAGCGGTATGCAGAAGGTTAAGTTATAATTATCATTAAATTACATTCTTGCACTTGTGCTATTTCACCCTGATTTCCTATAGGCTAGGTATAATCAAACTTGTTTTCAAATTCTGCTATTTTCAGAAAAAATATGAAAAGTCACAAAAACAGAAACAGTAGTGAAGAACCTTTTCTCAGGCCAATGCTACTTGTGAGTGGTTTATTTTACCTACATCAGGCATGATTTGTATATCATTTGAACTTTAAGACCAGTTACAAATCAGTATGGTCTATTATGCCTATTCAATTCCCCAAATCTTTCAATTTAAAAGATTATAATGAGCAATAATGCTTTGCCATCTAATAATAAAAGCACCTGTGTGCAATCTGAAAAAGGCTAATGTATGAAAAACATATCACAAAATAATCTGATGCTGCTGAGTCTTCATATGATGACACAACATACAGGTGAAACTCGAAAAATTAGATTTTCGTGCAAAAGTTCATTTATTTTAGTAATGCAACTTAAAAGGTGAAACTAATATATGAAATAGACTCATTACATGCAAAGCAAGATAGTTCAAGCTGTGATTTGTCATAATTTGATGATTATGGCATAACATGTCATGAAAACCCCAAATCCACAATCTCAGAAAATTAGAATATTGTGAAAAGGTGCAATATTCTAGGCTCAAAGTGTCCCACTCTAATCAGCTACTTAAGCCATAACACCTGCAAAGGGTTCCTGAACCTTTAAATGGTCTCTCAGTCTGGTTCAGTAGGAATCACAATCATGGAAAAGACTGCTGACCTGACAGTTGTGCAGAAAACCATCATTGACACCCTCCATAAGGAGGGAAAGCGTCAAAAAGGTAATTGCAAAAGAAGTTGGATGTTCCCAAAGTGCTGTATCAAAGCACATTAATGGAAAGTTATGTGGAAGAGAAAAGTGTGGAAGAAAAATGTGCACAAGCAGCAGGGATGACCACAGCCTGGAGAGGATTGTCAGAAAAAGGCCATTCAAAAGTGCTGGGGACTTTCACAAGGAGTGGACTGGGGCTGGAGTCAGTGCATCAAGAGCCACCACACACAGAAGGATCCTGGACATGGGCTTCAAATGTCGCGTTCCTCTTGTCAAGCCATTCCTGAACAACAAACAACGTCAGAAGCGTTTACCTGGGCTAAAGAAAAACAGACCTGGTCTGTTGCTCAGTGGTCCAAAGTCCTCTTTTCTGATGAGAGCAAATTTTGCATCTCATTTGGAAACCAAGGACCCAGAGTATGGAGGAAGAATGGAGAGGCGCACACTGCAAGATGGTTGAAGTCCAGTGTGAAGTTTCCACAGTCTGTGTTGATTTGGGGAGCCATGTCCTCTGCTGCTGTTGGTCCACTGTGCTTCATTAAGTCCAGGGTCATTGCAGCCGTCTACCAGGAGATTTTGGAGCACTTCATGCTTCCTTCTGCAGACGAGCTTTATGGGGATGCTGACTTCATTTTCTAGCAGGACTTGGCACCTGCCCACACTGCCAAAAGCACCAAAACCTGGTTCAATGACCGTGGGATTACTGTGCTTGATTGGCCAGCAAACTCGCCCGACCTGAACTCCATAGAGAATCTATGGGGCATTGCCAAGAGAAAGATGACAGACATGAGACCGAACAATGCAGAAGAGCTGAATGCCGCTATTGAAACATCCTGGTCCTCCATAACACCTCAGCAGTGCCACAGGCTGATAGCTTCCATGCCACGCCGCACTGAGGCAGTAATTGCTGCAAAAGGGGCCCAAACCAAGTACTGAGTACATATGCATGCTTATACTTTTCAGAGGTCCGATATTGTTCTATATACAATCCTTGTTTTATTGATTGCATGTAATATTCTAATTTTCTGAGATTGTGGATTTGGGGTTTTCATGAGCTGTAAGCCATAATTAGAGATGAGCGAATCGAACCTGGCGAAGTGGAATTCGTTTTAGAATATTAGGAAAAATTCGATTTGCTCCGAATATTAGCAAACTTCGGATGCGCGAATCGAATTTTCCCCGATCAGCCGATTTTCATCCCTTCTACAGCCGGCAAAAAGTGTCCCTGCAGAGAGCTCCGCTATTTCTGACAGTTCTCTGACAGTTCCTTCACATTTACAGCAGTTGAAACGTATCTATTTGTTTCCATTTAGGATACAGATGTTTTTTATTCGGAAACAAATAGATACAATGTTTCAACCGCTGTAAATGTGAAGGACCTGTCAGAGAACTGTCAGAAATAGCGGAGCTCTCTGCAGATACACTTTTTGCTGCACTGGAATTCTTCTTCATCCTCATCCTACTTTCTTCTTCTTCTTCTTCTTCTTCTTCATCCTCATCCTACTTCTTCTTCTTCGTCTTCTTCTTCTTCATCCTCATCTTCTTCTTCTTCTTCTTCTTCTTCTTCTTCTTCTTCATCCTCATCCTACTTCTTCTTCTTCTTCTTCATCCTCATCCTACTTCTTCTTCTTCTTCATCCTCATCCTACTTCTTCTTCTTCTTCTTTCTTCATCTTCATCCTTCTCATCTTCTCTTCTTCTTCTTCTTCATCCTCATCCTACTTCTTCTTCTTCTTCATCCTCATCCTACTTCTTCTTCTTCTTCTTCATCCTCATCCTACTTCTTCTTCTTCTTCTTCATCCTCATCCTACTTCTTCTTCTTCATCCTCATCCTACTTCTTCTTCTTCTTCTTCTTCTTCATCCTCATCCTACTTCTTCTTCTTCTTCTTCTTCTTCTTCTTCATCCTCATCCTACTTCTTCTTCTTCTTCTTCTTCTTCTTCTTCTTCATCCTTATCCTACTTTCTTCTTCTTCTTCTTCTTCTTCATCCTCATCCTTCTTCTTCTTCTTCTTCTTCTTCATCCTCATCCTACTTCTTCTTCTTCATCCTCATCCTACTTCTTCTTCTTCTTCTTCTTCTTCCCTCATCCTACTTCTTCTTCTTCTTCTTCATCCTCATCCTACTTCTTCTTCTTCTTCTTCTTCTTCTTCTTCATCTCATCCTACTTCTTCTTCATTCTTCTTCTTCTTCTTCTTCATCCTCATCCTACTTCTTCTTCTTCTTCTTCATCCATCATCCTACTTCTTCTTCGTCTTCTTCTTCTTCTTCTTCATCCTCATCCTACTTCTTCTTCTTCTTCTTCCTCATCCTCTTCTCTTCTTCTTCATCCTCATCCTACTTCTTCTTCTTCTTCTTCTTCATCCTCATCCTACTTCTTCTTCTTCTTCATCCTCATCCTACTTCTTCTTCTTCTTCTTCTTCATCATCATCCTACTTCTTCTTCTTCTTCTTCTTCATCCTCATCATTCTTCTTCTTCTTCTTCTTCTTCTTCTTCTTCTTCTTCTTCTTCATCCTCATCCTTCTTCTTCTTCTTCTTCATCCTCATCCTACTTCTTCTTCTTCTTCTTCTTCTTCTTCTTTCTTCATCCTCATCCTACTTCTTCTTCTTCTTCTTCTTCTTCTTCATCCTCATCCTACTTCTTCTTCTTCTTCTTCATCCTCATCCTACTTCTTCTTCTTCTTCTTCTTCATCCTACTTCTTCTTCTTCTTCTTCTTCATCCTCATCCTACTTCTTCTTCTTCATCCTCATCCTACTTCTTCTTCTTCTTCTTCTACTTCCTCATCCTACTTCTTCTTCTTCTTCATCCTCATCCTACTTCTTCTTCTTTCATCCTCATCCGACTTCTTCTTCTTCTTCTTCATCCTCATCCTTCTTCTTCTTCTTCTTTCTTCATCCTCATCCTACTTCTTCTTCTTCATCCTCATCCTACTTCTTCTTCTTCTTCTTCTTCATCCTCATCCTACTTCTTCTTCTTCTTCTTCTTCTTCTTCTTCTTCTTCTTCATCCTCATCCTACTTCTTCTTCTTCTTCTTCTTCATCCTCATCCTACTTCTTCTTCTTCTTCTTCTTCTTCTTCATCCTCATCCTCATCTTCTTCTTCTTCTTGCCATGGGCCCCTGTACCGCCTCCTCATGCTGCTGCCAGGTCCAGAGTGTGTCATGGGTCCCTGTACGGCCTCCCATTGCTGCTGTCTCCATCGCCACACTCTGCCATGTGCCACTTTCAGGTCTCCTCACACTGCTGGTGGGTTCCATTTTGTCATAGGGTGCTGTATGGCCTCCCATTGCTGCTGCCTCCACTACCACACTGTGGTTCCACACTCTGGTTTTGGCCCCGTGACTGCCCAAATGAGTGAAGTGTGCGGTGATTCTAAGATCGACGGCACTCATCTGCATGTCATACTGACTGACAGTATTATTTCTCTTCCCCAGCAGACTCCAAGGGCATTTAAATTAAAGGTACAGTGTTCTGCACTAATATAAAGGCTCTCTGAAGCCTAGAAACCCTTTTTATAAGTTAAATTTGCAGCGAATAAATTCGCATCGAATCGAATTTATTCCACAAATTCGGCGAATCAGCCGAATCGAATTTTTGAATAATTCGCTCATCTCTAGCCATAATCATCACAATTATGACAAATCACGGCTTGTACTATCTTGCTTTGCATGTAATGAGTCTATCTCATATATTAGTTTCACCTTTTAAGTTGCATTACTGAAATAAATGAACTTTTTCACGATATTCTAATTATTCGAGTTTCACCTGTATATGAACAGCAACAGAAAAATCAGAACAGCGCTACTGACAGAGTGCTGGAAGTCCACATAAACTATGTATCAATTATCAATATATAAACAATATAAGAATCCCCTTGAGCAGGCATGTCCAAAGTCCAGCCCGCGGGCCATTTACGGCCCGAGGGTCGGTTTAATACGGCCCTCCATGTCAGTGTGTCAGTGTGTCTTATGGAGCGAATATGGAGCGGCCGGTCCAGTATTTCCACCGCGGCCGTGTCAGAATACCGGGCCGGCCGCTCAGCTCTGCAGCGGGACCTTACCTGTTCCTCTATCCAGCGGCGCACTGTCTTCCCGGCTTCTGTAGTGTGGGCGCTGGGCAATGACAGCCGGGTGCCAAGTGCGCATGCGCAAGAAGCGGTGCTTTTTGTGAATGGTAAGGCGGTACCTGGGACACATGACAGATCCCAGAAGCCGCCGGACCAATCACAAAGCGCAAGTGCTTCTCGCTCATGCGCACTGGGCACCCGGCTGTCATGCCGAGCGCCATTACAGAAGCCGGGAAGACAGCGCGCGGCTGGATCGAGGAACAGGTAAGATCAAAGAACAACTGCGGAAGTAAGAGCGGGTACCTGTCAAATTCAGGTACCCGCTCCCCACCTCCCCAAAGGTCAGCAGTCATCTGTACTGTCCGCAGTCTCTGGTCATCCCTGTGCTGTCCGCAGTCTCTGGTCATCCCTGTGCTGTCCGCAGTCTCTGGTCATCCCTGTGCTGTCCGCAGTCTCTGGTCATCCCTGTGCTGTCCGCAGTCTCTGGTCATCCCTGTGCTGTCCGCAGTCTCTGGTCATCTCCTGTACTGTGTCTGCAGTCCATTAGTTCAGAATTTTTTTTTTTCCTGTTTTCTGCCTCTAAAACCTAGGTGCGTCTTATGGTCAGGTGCGTCTTATACGGCGAAAAATACGGTAACTTGGCATAAAATAATTTATTTGCATTTAATTGTAATGGTTCAAAGAATGTTTGGAAAAATGCTCGGCCCTCCACCATGTTCACTTCATCCAATCTGGCCCTCTTTGAAAAAAGTTTGGACACCCCTGCCCTTGAGCCAAGGATCCAAATGTATCAGCATAGTAATGTAACAATTCAGCAAAATAACATATGGACACATCCATTTGAAAAATGTCTCAATGGATAAGTATGAAAAAGTTCCCTTCCATCCAAGTGTAAAAGAGGAATATTCTTCTAGATAAATATATTTCACATTTACCCTTTTAAAGCTAACAGATTCAACATGCAAGCCTGGTAGTCCAGGATTAAATATTTATGGTTTACCAATGAGTTGTTACTATAGACCAAATTTCAGGATCTCATATTACACCTTCATAAACAGTTAATGATGTTCACACCACCGTTTCCTTTTCTATAGAAATAGCATCTTGTAGATCTATCTTCAGTCTGCAGAAGCAGTCAACTACTATGCATAGTGCTGGGCTTTCCTATTAAACAGTTTAGCATGTGTTGAACAAAATCACCCAATATTAAAAGTTTACATTTTAGTAAAAATAATTATATTACCAAAAATTTATAAACTTCTAAAGTTTTAAATAATAAATGCAAAATAAAATTGACCTAAAACTATTTTCCTTGTACAATTTGGAAAATGTGAAAAGAAGGACACATTATTTGATCTTTTTTTCTTTATTATTTTTACTTTTTACTCTTAAATAATGAAAGAGGACTTGAGTGCATAATTGCTCCAATTGTTTTTATTTTTAGCTTGCAGAAGTCTATATCACTGTTTCTGAAGTAGTTGCCATGGCAGTGCAAAGTTACAAGAAGGTACACCTTACAGACAAGAACTTTTTCTTCAGACAAAATTAGGAGTGTTAAAAAAACACTGACATGCTACTTCAGTTGAATACTTTTGCTGACATTTGCCTACAATGTTTTCCAAGCTCCTTAATATAAGAATCAGATTATCTTTTTAAGAGAACCAATTCCAGTTATGCAACCAAACAACGAGATTATAAGAACTGCCACCAATATTTAATTAGGTGACTGTGAATGATAAAAACGTATTTTATTTTTAATTATTGTAGGAGTCAACCATCCATTGAGTTAATTTCTTGAGACATTATAGCTCACACAGGTATACTTTTTATCGACAGACTGTAAATTAAAACTTTATTTTTAATTAAAAAATCATAATGTATAGTTATATAACACTAAGCACAGACATCTCTGATAAAGAAAAAATGTAATATTAAAAAAGGAGTGTATCCTGCAGCTTTGTATTGACAGTAAATTAAACATACTGTATATTGAAATTCTGTTGAAGAAACAATGGATGCATTTTTTTAAATTTAAACTTCGAATGAGATATGCACTTTTATATTTTCAATCTGTTGCTGTTTAGCTATTGCAAATACATTGGATGAATAGATTCTAGAGTACAAGCAAGTTAAGAACAAAAAACTATTGATCAGCCATCAAATGTAGGGCAAAGTAACATGTTCTTTTTAATGCCTCCCTATGCAGCAGCACATACTTAAGCTGACCATAGGCAAAATTTGGCCAGTTCATCAGGAACTGGCCAAATTTCACTCCATCTATGGGCACGCTGGTTGTACTGAAGTCGATTTATCAATTGACTTCAGTACAACCGGCCTGTTGTTTTTTTTATTTTCATAAGATTACTGCTCCTGACTAGAGCTGGCAGCAGTGATCATTGTATTCTGATGGCGGGGAAATCTCCCGCTGTCAGAATACAATAGCGCAGCGGGAGGAATTCATCCATTAACACTGAATATGTTGATGAGGGAATCAAGCAATTTTCTTTCTTTCTTTCAACTTGTGACTGAAGGACAGTAAATTGCATAATGTATGGCCACTTACTTTCATTTACTTTCCTAATGCTTCATTTGGTTGCTGGAAGCAAACATAAATACCTGATACTTCAAGGTATAGTAAAGCATTTGACTCACTCCTCTCTCTCTCTCTCATTTGTAACAACACTGATGCTTTGTGATTGGCTGACCATTCACCCAACATTGTGTAAAAATGGAAGCTTGCACAAGGGAGAATGTTCCCTTCCTTCTGTGATCCATCTAGAGCAGAGTTCAAAGACAGTAAGTATGGACAGCTATAAGCACAGATTCACTTTGCTCCATTGTCTCTCTGTTAAGTGACCCTTTAACTTTGCCCTGCATGAGCAAATGAAAGGACTGCTTTAATGTATATCAATAATTTGATTTCTGAAAATATAAAATCAGCAGCTATGACTCCTGGCAGCCTGCAGGATTTAGTCTGTGCTAGCAAATAAGATACATGTAAAAAACATTATTTCTGCCTTATTACTGCCATAGATATCCTAGTCACACACACACTGCATGATGTGATTCATTTCAGCACTGCCAAGAAAAATAGTTCTGCAATCTTCCTGGTGTGCTGGTCATTTGATATATAAT